GATCCCTTTTTGCTAAGAGTGTAGAGGAGAAGGTGGAATTTGGCTGCCTGAGATAGGAAATACTTACCATGTATCCCTAGTGGTGGGCAGCATTATTTATGCTAGATTAGATCATGTTGTGTAGGCTAAAACAAAGCCATCACACACTGAATTGGTTTCTACAATTCACTTTGGCAGTAGTGTAGCCAAACACCATTTAGCATGCAAAATTAGTAAGAGATGGTGCTGATCTGATACAGATTGATTATCACCGAGAAAAAGGGAATGAATCTGATCCTGTCCTGTAACAAATCTATCCTGTAATAGCACATATTCACATTGTGTATTCCTTTCTGTGGGTTGAGAAAGATGGCCTACTTTTAGATGCTCACTGAGAATGATAGCCTACTTCTAGATATTCATCTTAAGTGAAGTGTTTTCATTAAAACAGCTCATTTTAAAGCTTAGTAATATTTAAAGAAGAAATAATATATTGGTATTGGTATTGGCCAGTGCTTAAGGTTTCAGTACTGGTATCAGAAAAGAAAAAGTGGTATTGTGTAATGTCTACTAGCTGAATACACAAGTGTAATCAGAGTTGTTAGAGGAAAGCTGCTATAAGCAAGATCATTATAAAGCCAAGAATTAGAACATTAGAATGTTACCTACTACCCCAGTGGTCACCTCCAACCCAAAACTAACACACCTCATTCGGCTAATCAAGACTTAAATAATTAGATGGGTCAGCTGGGGTTGATTAGGGTTGGAGCTAAAGGCTCTAGAAAGGTAGATCTCCAGGAGCAGGGGTTGGTGACCACTACACTACACCAACCTCTTTCTCCTAGGATAGTACACTACTTAGTTGTATATTTACTGTTGTGCAGAGTTAGTTACCTTCATGTCATGAGGTGTTAATGAGGCCACGGCATTCATTGCAGATTTGAGAACATTGAGGTTTTACTGAAGTTTAATCAAAGCTGGTAGGTAAATTTAGCCAAGAGTAAATTGGACGATATAACTATTACTATTTTTTTAACCTGACAGTAGTTTGCTACTTACTGTTTGAAAGTATTTTTTATTTAGCTAAAATGATAGACTAGCTATGGTAGATTAGTGATTTGGACACGTTTCCTCAACATTAGAAATATGATTCCTAAACCTGTTCAATCTGAATCTTAGACCTCTATTTTAATAATTGTTACCCCACATGCATTAAAAGTGACTCTGCGTCAATCCAGATAGTAGTTTTTTTGTACATCACCAAATACAAACTGCTGTAGGGCAAAATTTTAAAGCTGCAAGAAATGAGTGACACCAAAAGCTGTCAGATCTGGCGCAAACAAATACAGACAGTGTAGCTTCTTACACATTGTTTGAAATCTATAAAATATAAGCATCGTATTAGGATCATTGTATACATGTATCTGCAACAAAACTGGATTTATATTATTGAGAACAGTGATTCAAAACCTTTGAATGGTGATTACACATTTTTAAACTGTAGTGTACTTTTTACTTCCTACATTCCCATTAAGATCTTTAGAGTATTCAATCCAAAGTATTCACTACAAAGTGTTCATTACAAATCAAGTATTCATTTGCCTGTCAACATTTCTGTTCCCATCAGTTTCCACACTACACTCGTCAATGCCATGCCAAGTGTATGCTTGTAACTGTAATTATAACTGTATTTAAATTTTACAAACATTTAAAAGTTTTCTTAAAAGGTTTGAACATGGCAAAACAGTTAGCTTGTGTCCAACTTTGATAAAGTTTATGACTTTGATAAGGATCTACTCCTAAGTTTATCTGTTAAAGCATTTAGTTTTCACCTTTATATACTTGAGTATATACAGTTGTATGCAAAACTCTGAGCAACCCTGGTCAAATTACATGTTTTTGTAATTGTACATTAAAATATGCAGGAGTGTGTTCTCTTTATAGGATTTGTGCTTATTTTTGTATTTTACTCTAAAAAAGTCAACAAAGCATGCAAGTTGACCAGGGGTGCTAAACCTTTGCATATGACTGTATGAATGTTCATACTTTTTGACTCTTATTTTAGTGTATTCACCTTTAATTGAGCTAGAGTTTTATGTAATACCTATACTTTTACTGTAGTACAGTTTCTCTACACTCTTTTTACATCACAGGACAGAAATATATATCAGAGTCTACCAATGATGCCAAGGCCAAGGAAGGATGCGCAAGCATGAGCAAGACAACATTTGCCCTGACTTAATTTATTCAAGTGAGCAACAATATGGTGACATTGTTGGTGAGAGAGTAATACTGAGAACAACAACATCAGCAAATAAAGAGAAGCTGAGGAGGGGAGAATGTCTTCCTTGAGAAAGACGGAGAGCGTTACAGGTAGGTAATAGTGATTATGTCACCAGAGAGAAAGGCATTGAAGCCACTCTGTAAATAATATCTAAAGCACACACACGGTCAATGGATCATAGAAAACGTCAATATTCAAGACTACCTACCATACACCATGCTATACGGAGGCATGGCTCTAAGCTCATGTAAAAAAATGGATTTACTAAGTGAATGCAGCTGTATATGCTATGTAACCCAGCATCTTTCAGATATGTACAGGTAATTGAGATCCTTTGTTCCACATTCTTAAAAATAAAGGTTCCAAAAGGGGTTCTTTGGAGCAGAGTCACTTCTGTTTTCCTAAACAATATTTCCGTGAACAATTCTTTAAAGAACCATTCTTTAAATGAGACGTGCTGAAAGAACCTTAATGTACAGGTTTTGTCCTACTAGTTTCTTTTAGAACCACGCATGCATGGCAATAATCATTTAGGAGCCTTTATTGTTAAGAGTGCATAAGGAATCACTTCAGCAATAGGCATCTGACCAAAAATTGTATGGCATTCTCTCACCACTCTTACAGATAACAGAATTCTAATAGATGAGAACGAGAAAGTAAGAACTTGCTGGAACCAGACAGATCCTGTTATAGTGAGAAAATAAACAGTGACAAAGTATGTGGCTGGCTGGCATGCTGATTTGATGGGAATTCCAAGCATAAGGCTCTGAAAAGCTAAGACACGGATGGTCTTCTGAACAGCTGGTTTGTCCACATTGATGCAAGACTGACAGTCTTTCATTCTTCTTTGTCCTTGATTGTTATCAGCAAACGGGCCATACCATTGAAATGCTTCTCGGTGCTGACGGACTTTAAAAAAAAAAAAGAAAGAAAAGAAAAAAAGGCTCTTTCATTTTTGGATGTCTGACATTTCTCAGCCCTCCATTTATCTGCAGACTTGCACAATGTCACAGTCCCAGTGGCACACAGCATTCAGATTTACACAGGGCTGCTGTAGCATGGAGCAGCAGCATGGCCATCATTCACATTCATGGGGGGATGGGGTGGGGGAAGCGTCTAGATTTCACCCGCTTTTTGGTGGAATGTTGACGTTTTAGTCCTTGGTGCTAAGTGACAGCGATGGCAGTGGAATAACATTAATCTTCAACCCATTCACTATGACGAAAAAGGATACTGGCTGGTTTTCTAGTGACAGCTGATGACACATTATCATTGTCAGAATTGAAGAAAAAAAAAAAACACCAATGTAAACCTTCATTGGCTATACCATGAAATTTTCCCTGACCTGCCCATGCTCCGCCTACAAATGTGCTCTTTCATAGCTGCTGCTGCAAGATTGGACAAGTTTCATAAAATGCTGGCAGAAATACCATTCAACCTAATGATCAACTGTAGTTCACAACTGCACTATGTAAGATTTTTTTTGTGTTTGAACGAGCGTCTGAAAACTATACGTGCGATCAGTCACAAATGTCACATAGGCTCCTGATATGATCCTGCAAAGTTTTGTGGTTCTAGCTCAAGAACTGTGACCTGTAATAACGGTACAAAAAGCATAGATTAATAATAAAACAAAGAACAGTAAGTTGGCTTTGTTGTGGTATCTGTGTGCTGCTGTAAGTCACTTTGTAAAGCTTGAATGATTAATTTAAAAGTCAGAGGCGTTATATTGGATTCTGCTGGAGTTTTTCGGACCACGTCATACATCTGTGTCTCACACACAGGCTCAAAAATGCGGTCCAGCTTGATGTTTAGCTCTCAAATGCAAAGATCTGCTTGAGGAATGGGTCCGAAGAACAAGTCAGTACAAAATGTTCTTTTGCATGTTGGTAATTTCACCAGAGAGGTCTCCAAATACCCAGAACTTATGTAGTATAGCTTTAAGATAGATCTGTGTAGTTTTTCATGTAATTGAGGTCATTTTATCATAGTTGCAAAAAATTGTTGCAACCTTTCCCACCTGCTTTATTCTACAGTAGCTACAACAGCATATTTCAGCTTGAATGTTAAACTGGAAATGTCATTATAACCACTTTAAACAATTGTTGTAGTGGTCTAGTATGACTGACTTATCTGACAAAAACTGAATTATACAAATGTCTCTGAATTACCTATTATGTTGGATAATATTTTTCCCAACATTCTGTAAAGCTTGTCCATTTTCCCAAGAGTGGCTACGTAAGAACATATTTGTGGGTGGAGCACGGGCAGGTCTATTGCCCCCTCGATTCTCGAAGCTGTAGCTCTATGTGATTTCTAGTTTCACAACAGCAGAAGAACCAAACACAGTATTCTCTGCAGTCAGTACCTACAGTTTAGGTCAACTGGCACTGTTGATACTGATAAGCAGAACAGGCACACAGAACAGGATAAGACAGCTGTGGCTACAAACATATGACAAAAAAGGCATACAAGGTTCAACTGAAGTATATACAAAATACACAAGAAGAGAAAGGCTTGAGCTGTTAGACTACTTCCTTTAGCACCATTTTTATATTTGGGTAGTCATGTTTAAATGGTGTGCACTGAGAGGAGTTCTTAACTTTATCTATTTCTCATTTGGAGAATAAACTGTAAATTAAAATTTGTTGGTTCACTGAAAGTCCATATACTTTAGAATGATCCGGAGTATATTGTCCATGGGCTTTTGTAAATTGTATGGTATTGGCTATATAGATGTATCTTGTAGCTGTGCCAGTCTCTCAGATCATTTCTCAGTAACACTGTAAGAGGAAACGCTGAACCAGAACAGTAGTCCATGGGTGGAATTTAAGGAATAAAAGCTTTCAGCCCATTCAAAGTCCCTTGTTAGCATTAGGTAGTTGGTTCATCGCCATAACCAAAGAAGTGGTTCTTCTACTACTCCATTAAGCTATTATGTCTTGGTAACTGTTTTATAGGGCCATTGTACACTGTACTTCTAGAACATTCCTGTTAAATAGGTGTCTCATACTGGCGTTGTCCTCCTGTTGACGCCATCATTCAAGTCTTTAGGGAAACAGTTGTGCACCTGTAGAAATCCGGAGTCATGTTCAGGGCTGTAGGAGCTGTCCGTGCCCGACTTGAGCGGGTCTCTGGACAGTGTGTACATGTTGATCTCCCCCAGAGGCACAGAGCTGACCATCTTCAGGCCGACCGGAGAGGCCTCACGAGATGCCTCTGTGGAGCGCGAGCTGGATCGTGAGTGCCGCCGGCGGTAGCGGAAACTAGGCATGCGTGAATATGGAGAAGAGGACGAGGTAGACTTGATGAACTCCCGCCGTGCCTTGAAGCGCACTTCTTTGTTCTTCTCAATGTAGATGTTCACGGCTAGGACGGCCACCGCCTCAGCCACGATGAAGGAAAGCGCTCCGAAGTAGAAGGACCAGCCGTAATTGTACTGGTTCTTCTTGTCCTCGTCGCGTTTGTCGCTGGGGTCACCGGCGTTGCTGGAGATGTAGACGATGATGCCAATGATGTTGCTCAGACCTGTTGCATCCAAAAGAAGTATGCAAAAAATTGAGATGCTTGTGTTATTTCTTTGTTTATAGCAAGTATCAACTTTATGAAGCTTTCCCTTCATTTTCGTGCTCACTAATGACACTTGTTAACTTCCTGTTTTAAAAAAAATTAGGCCTCCCACCCCCACCAAGTTGGCCAGTAGACCAGTTTAATTGCTTTCTAGTAGCGTTCTTCATGAACTATATGTAATTTAAAGTTGTATGCAAAAGTTTGGGAACGCTTAGTCAAATTATGTACTTTGTTGATTTTCTCTTACATATATATGACATGCAGGTTACTCGTAAACTATTTTAGGTCATCATGTAACCAGTGTGGAATGAGCTTTTTTTTTTACCTGCTGCCACAAACAAGATGCCTGCACTGAGCAGGATGTTGTTCCTCTTGCTGTAGATGCGTCCCACCCCCACGCACAGCCCCCCCAGCAGCAGCAGAATGGTACTGAGAATGGGGAACACACTCGAGGCACGGACTATACCTACACACGAGACCGGATCACAGGTGAGTCTTCAAAGAGCTCAAATGCTGTTTTACCAGAATGACACATGTATAAACAAGAGTGAAACAATGTTTAAACTTGTGAAATGTTGCTTGAGAGGAAGTCACTCACGTAAGAGGTACTCTGAGCTGTCAGTGTCATAATCATTGTCATCTGGAAAGTGATTAATACGGTAGCAGCTTCCTTTGTTGAGGCCTAAAGAAGAAAGAACAATTCTGAAGTTTATTTATGACTCAGAGAATAAAATACTGGTTCAAACATTCCACATACTTTATAATGCTGTGGTATATAGTGTCCATAAGGTATATAGATCTCTGTGTGCCCCAGTCTTTCAGATCCTTTCTCAAAAATACTGTAAAAGGAAACACTGGACTAAAATACTAGTCCTTGGGTGAAATTTAAAGAATAAAACTGTCTTTCAAGTCCATTCAGGTTCTCTTGTTAAAGTATTAGTCAGTAGGTAGAGAAGGGGTTTTTCCACTGTGCCATTAAGCTGTTAGGTCTCAGTGATTTTCCACTGTATTTTTAGAACATGCCCATTATAAAGAAATTGTCATCATGAAGTGATGTCCCAAACATCTCTCCTATTTTACTGGACAGCATGTCAGTTCTACAATGAAAATCCAGCTGCGTTCAGCTGAAGAACTAGAACTAAAAGAATTTTCAATAACAAAAGTTCTAACAGTGGTGTGTTTTAAACTTTATTGGCCCCAAAGAAAAAAAAGAAATAACAGAACCCAATAAAATTACTTTAAGTGAATAAAAATTGACAATGTAATTTGCGTGATTTACTTGCCATTTTATGTCATGCCATTTCACTCACTGCCATCTAACATTAGCCTAAATATTTACATTAAGACTAATTAAGACTTACTGAAGTTTCATAGATTCCCTAGAACCCTTGCTGTGTGTATATCATCAATATTTTATATATTATGTGAATAGATTCATCTTATTGATTTTTTTCATTAATAAGTAAAGAATATATCATGTTGCATTTTGTTTTAAAGGATCCATTTGAAAATGGTTACCTTTAATGACTAACATGGAAATAAATGGATGTCAAGACTGTCTGTGTAGTGTCGATGGAAGGTAACTGGTGAGGTATACTGTTGTTCAGTGAGTCATGGGTGTAGAACTGTGTCAGTATCTATATGAAGAGTCCAGTAAAGATTTTAAGGGGCATCCCTTTGCATCATGGCCCCATGGTGATTACTACCGGCCAGCCAAATCGTTACGCATCGGATTCCTAAATAGATGTTTACCTGGATGTTCAGTTCTGTCAAAAACTTGTACACTTTTACATTATTGAATATTAAAATTGCGGATCATTTTTAAGTGGCCTTTTTCCAACATCTCTTTATTCTGATGGTGAGGGAATCAGATCAGTGAACGGGGATATTTACTGAAAAAATATATTGGCATAAGACAGATGTTTAGAATTGACCAATATTTCAAACCAATATTTAATGATGTATTTATTGTACTCTGGAAAAGCAGAATGTTTGGTTAGGGTACTGAAATGTCTGAATTTTGCTCTTTGTACTACCTTTGTACCCCTATAGAAATAAATTATTACAAATATGTATCTTACTTAAGTTAATGCAGTGAGATTTTTTTCAAATTCATTTTGGCCCAGTTCTATTCATCATTTATTCACCACTATTCTTTCAACATGAAATTTTTACACAATGTAAAAGATAGTCGCTGTGCTCAAATGATGTAGGAACAAATGTTGATGTGAGACGTTTTTTTCTTCGCAGCAACAAACTTACATATCTCTGTAATGCTAATCCAGTAGATGTACTCCCAGTTTCCCAGTGGACAAAAAAAAGGGATGTTGCCATCGGCCCACAATTCCCATATCAGTGCATCCCTAGTATATTAAGTTCTTAACACTTACACGTCTTTTACAAAAATGGTTATTTAACCATTGAAAGGTTTTTAGGGAACCAAAATGGGTTCTTCTATGACATCACTCAAAAGAACCCTTTTTGACACCTTTTATCTTAAGAATGTATACAAGTTTGGTGATTGAGATGTTTAGTCAGTAATACTGTAGATGCAGTTGCTCTCTCTCTCTCTCTCTTTCTCTCTCTCTCTCTCTCGCTCTCTCCTTCTCTCTCTCTCTCCTTCTCTCTCTCTCTCTCCTTCTCTCCCTCTCTTCTTTTCTGTTCTAGGTGAGGTGGGAGGCAGTCTATACCCTGTGACACAGCTTTTGTGGCCCAGCGTGGCATTAATTGGGTCTAGTGGTTAAAAAGGAGCATCAAATTAATTAGTATTAAATAGGTCTGAGAAACTGGGCCACGTTTTCTCGTCTAGTCATTGTAAAAAAAAAAAAAACACCCTAATTCAGGTTCTGTGAGTTGTCCTCTGATACCAAGACCTGCATGATATAGGTGAACGGCTCCTGCATTATTCATATTTAGTATTCCATAATATAATATAAATTCACAGAAAAGAGACTCTGTATAGGGCCTGTAGGCCTATAGGTTGTAAAATGTTTAGTAGGCTTAGTATTCTGTATCATCTATGAAGTGTGCGAGCATGCCAATCACATGCCAGAGAAATTTGCCTAATTAGCATATTTCTAAACCTGTCAGTGACAGATGGTATTCAGTCAACAAAGGAAGAAAACTGAGTGCTGCATTTAACAGTTAACCCTTTTTTTACTGAGCATATCATCTGAATACTATGCATTCGGAGATGTTTGTCCCCACTTTAACTCAATAAAATCAGAAATCAGAGTAGCTGGGCCGTGTGTGCCCACTATGGACAGTAAAATGTATCAGCATGTGGAATTAGAGCCTTCTGTGTGCTAATGTGTTTATCACTATACAAAAGAAGCACATTGCTGCTTTTATTTATGAATGTACTGTGATAGTTTCTGAATCACTTATTGATTTGTTTAATCAGAGTAATAATAAAGTGTTCAGTAAATTCCTATTAATCTGTTTGCATGTTTGTTTGTGACCCAAATAAAATAATCAACAAAGCAACAGCTTTGTTAAATCTTATTCTTTACATATGAAAATAAATGTAAAATAAAAATAGTTTAGAAAGCATGTTATTAAACGGAGAAGAGTAGATTTAAAGGTAGAAATAGCTTTTTTGGCATTAAAAGGCCCATATTCTGTTTGTTCACCTCTTATTCTATTGTAGGTCTGCTTATGACATTTGTGTATATTTATGTACCAAAAATAGTCTCAAGTCATTTTTATATGACCTTTTTCCAACCTCTCATTAGCCCTTAGAATTAAATGGGCTGTTGTTGTTCCTGTGCCTTTAAAGCTGACTTATGTAAGCGATTTCTGCTCTGAATAGCTGGCCTGTACCCTGCCTTGTTTAGAGAAGCAGTCCAGGCTGAAACACTACTTGTAACATCAGCATGAATGGGCAGAGCTAAGTTTGTAGTGGCTGAATAGGTGGACATATTTAAGTGCATTCACTTTCATGGCATCCCAAAAACAGTGAGATAAACAATGGGATATTTTTAAGGCTTAATTTGAAACTTAAAGTTTACATATTACATCAAACTATGTAATTCAAAAAAAAGCAAGGAAATGTGTGCCATGATATGGGCTCTTTAAGACTGGAATATGTAAATGACCTCTCTTCCGATTAGTTGCCTTCATACAGAAAACAGTCCAAGCTGAAACACTCTTTATAACTTCAACATGAATGGGCGGGGTTAACTGTAGGTTAAATAGGTGGATTTATGTAAATGCTTTGGTTTTTGTGCTATGATAAAAACGGTGAATATTATAAGAGGCTGCTTTGCAGCTTAGTTTCCATACTTGGACTGTTTAGACTAGGGAATCAACAACACTTTAACAATTTAATTAAAAAATAAATAAATAAGGGAAATTCAGCCTTCCATGATGGGGGCACTTGAAGTTTGCCTTTGTCAAATTCCACATCAGCTTTTACATTTTAAACTCAAAAAGGCTTAAATCTTTATCTTTCTGCACTTAACGTCTATTCTTTCTAATTGGTTCAGAATCATTTTTCCAAACAGTTAAAGACTACGGCTGTTCAGAAGGGATATAGACTATCTAAGAGCCATCAGGCGTGTGGTTTACTCCATTTTTCTGGCTGTATTAGAGAGTATTGTGAGTGAAGAGGAATCAGATTGAGAGCTCAGACAGTTGATTTATGAGTGGCGGTTATTAGCCCAGTGTCTGAGGTGTGCCCAGTCTCATAAAGAAGAAATAAAGCTCCTCACCTGACTGACACAGACACTCATCAGAGAGAGAGAGAGAGTGTGTGTGTGTGTGTGCATGTGCCTGTGTGTGTGTCTGTGTGTGTGACAAAAAGCGACGGCCCAGTCCCTCAGGCCTGCCTGGAGGTAGCAATGCTCTCTGCTGAGCACATCTTCTCCATGGCAACCTCAGGGCTGCTTCAACCATCTGATTTCCATAATGTCTCCAAGGATGCCTTTGACATCTTCATTGTGGTTTAATGCAGCAGGCAAAGACACCTCCACCACCCCCCCCACCAATCCCTACCAAACCCACCTCCCTGCCTCACACATGCAGCGCCAAAACTGATCCCAAAGCAGCTGTCACAGCTGCCTCAGCCAGGAAGGATCACATTATTGTTATTGTGAATTATGGCCAATCATGGGCTTCTTAAAGTGCCATCAACCAGTTGTGGTTTTGCATGCCGCTGTTAGGTGCTCACCTTGTTTGGTAGCACAGATGTATTCATGTTTTTGCTGTCGTTACAAAATCACACATCCCCAAAATGGCAACTTCACAGGGGAAGAAACACAAGGCTCTGAAAGGGGCACTCTGGCCAAAGTGAATAAAAAAGCAAATTGTTCTTGTAAACATGCCTCCTCACCTCCTACAGCATAACCACAATAGTCACGAGTGAGATTTTCTTGTATAACGGTTAGGAAAACCCCCTTCAGATGATGTATTTCGAAGGTGGGAGGAACTTCTGAAAAATGACGAGCTTTAGGGTTCTTGGGGGCAGATGCATCATGGGGGCAGGCTGTTTGAAATGTTTTTCTTTTTTCTGCTGGCTAATGTAGAAGAAAGCCAGACTGCTCATGTTACAGATATGAAGCTGACACATCTGTATGTATTTGCTTCTACATTAGTGCATTTCTTATTGCAGTGAAGAATTCCCAATAGGCTCTTTTCTTAAGAAACAGAAATACGTAAATGCCAGATAAAACAAAGTCCACAATTGTCTTACAGACAGTTATTAACCTCAGTAATACTAGTGTTCACCATGGAAAGGTGTATCACTTAATCTGTGTCATAGCTGCCAAAACTAAAATTTGAAGTTGTATCCAGAATTGTTGGAGAACACCAAACACACAACAATGTGTTAATCTAAGCTGAACAAAGGATATACATTTTTCATGGAAGAATACCTTCACAGCTATCAGAGTACGTTAACATCAGCTAACATCTACAGAGTGATAAAACAATGGATATGTGAAATAACTACAACCAAAAAGCTAGATTAGTCATATTAGCTGGAGATGTTGAAAAAGCTTGGTAACAAGAAACTAGTTGGCAAAAAGGTAAACAGGCACACATACCGACAGAGGGGTGTGCCGCCTAGTTACGGTCTGTAGCACCACTGTAGACATTTTCCACAACCGCCGGCTCCAATGAATGACTGGCTCTCTCAAATGCAAACAGCGTTTGATGAGGAATGTGAAAACTACTCCACTGAAAGCAGCTGGGAACAGCACCAATTTTAAAGCGCAAACTGCCTTGTAACTTTAGTCAGCAGGGGTGAAATGCTGACACAAAGGTAACATTACCTGCTGTCCATATAATAAAGTTTATTCCATCATCCCTCTTAATTGCACAAACTCATTTTTCCTCTTTCTTGCCAGCTTAGAAGCCTTAAAAACGAGGGTAAATTGTTTTTACTTCTAGCTCAAACACTTGGGTACATTGCAAAAGCTCTTACTCTTGGACTCTTGGAAACTTGTTGATTCTTTAGAAGCAGCTTAACCCAGCCACAGGAACAGTCCAGAAATGTGAAAAAGACCTACTGTTGTTTGACATATTTGCATAATTCATGCTGGGTACTGTAGCAATGAATATTGACGGACAAAAACACAAAAATGACACTCTGTCAAGCCGCAAGGCCATGGGATGTGATGCTGCACTACAAAATAATATGTAACATGACAAATAACATTAAGTGCCAATTTTAGGTTGAAATACTCCTTTAACTTGTAGGTAATGTAGTGAGATTTAAACCAAAAAGGAACTGTGGACCATTTTTATTCATCCATTGGTCATGAAACGTTCACACAATGTAAAAGGCAAGTACAGTTTTCACTAACTTAAAATGGACACTATGGAATGACAGCAACACTAATCAAAGAACAGCAGCTGATTTTGTTTTGCTCTTGTAGGCCTTGTTGAATTAATGTGATGTATTTGGTAAACAAACAGGCGAACAAAACATTTTTATCTAATTGGTGCAATGGTTTATCAAAGAATTATGAACATCAGCCACTCATAAGGATTCTTTGGAAAGATGGCATAGAAGAACTTTCAGTTCTTGAAAAGGCCCATATCATAGAGAATTGTTGATATAGTATGTAAAGGTTGTTAGAGTTTCAAAATGTACCTTTCACTCCATGAAGTCCATATATACGAACTTAGCAGCAAAAACAGCCCAATTTGATAGCACTGTTTTTTGTGATGTAACAAAAAGTATTTACATACGTCTGCCTATTCTGCCAACAGCAGTTTAGCACCGCCCATTCACACTGAATTTATAAGGAGTGTTTCAGCCTGGACTGCTTTCTAAATATGACTCAATACAGGGCAGCCAATCAGAACAGAGGTAAATTACATATCTCTGTCTGACACGGTAACAAAAATAGCCTGTTGAATCTGAAGATAAAAACAGTTTGGAAAATGGTCATGCTAAAATAAATTATCACTGTATTTGGTACACAAAACCACACAAATTTCACATGCGGACTTCAGGAGAAAAAAAAAATCAATGCAGGAGAAATGCATGACTTGGGACTTTTAATGAACCTTTTAATGGATAATCCTTAAAAGAGCCATTTTTATAAATGAGCCTTTGAAATTTGATGAACATGACAAATCAAGGTTTTCTGTGAGCTGTACATCCAAATCAAGCATTTAGAAACCTTTATTTTGTGTACAAGATAGTTCTTCAAGTAAAAAATGGTTCTGTATAGAACCATGAACACTCAAAGAACCATTTGCATGCTTAAAGTATTCTTGGCATTATGAAATTGTTCTTCAGATTGGTGGAGAATGTGTTATATATGGTTCTATATAGAACCTTTTGAAAAGGGTTCTATACAGCGCCAGCAAGGGTTCTTCTATTGTTACAAGCTTCAGAACAATAGCATAACCCTTTTAAAAAAAGGGGTAAATAACACAATCTCTATCAATCTGAGGAACCATTTCATGATGCAAAGAACGCTTTAAGCATGCAAATGGTTCTTTGAGTGTTCATGGATCTATATAGATCATGGATCTTTGAAGAACCATCTTTTTAAGAGTGCATGTAGGGATGACAGCCAGAATTCTTCTTGGGTTATAATGCTGTAGGCCCAAATGAGCTGAGAATGAACACTATGTGATGATATCCTGCATTGGTAAGGTTGAGAGGTCGAGGGCCTGCACCTGGCACGTGCTCCTAGCTTGTTATCACTACGCTCTTCAGTGTGGTACGGTGGCAGAATTCAAGCCTGGTGGCTAATTAGAGACTGCGTGGCCTTTTAGAGCTGCATTTTAATTACAGATCTGTGGTGCACGCTGGGAGTGGCAAAGTGACAGCACTTCCCCCCTCGAAACCTCCCCAGCCTCGCAAAGGGAACGATGCCACCAGTGGAAGACTCAGATCCATACGGAACTAAAGCAAATGTTATCTCACGGGGCTGCAATCTGTTCAGTTGATAGAAAACATATTGACGCTTTGAGTGTTTTGTCCTTTGTTGGTTGACGAGTGACCTTTAAGGGTCAATACAATGTTTTAGATGATGTCGTACAAATTAGGCATGATGGTAGAGCATCGTCAAGGGCTTCTTGAAATACTAGATTGTGCCCCTCATATCTCTAAAATGGGCAAAACATTCTTATCTTTAATGATGGTTGACAGAACAAGATTTTATTCCAAGTAACTTTGGGTCTTTTATGTTGGTCCTTTCATTGTCATATGTTCTCACAGTGTAAAGGGCAGGTAGCATTTTTAAATTTGACATAGATACAACTCCAAGGTTTTGATATGATGGTGCTAGTATTCACATGTCAGTTTGAGATCTATATAGGGATGTTGTTAACTGGACTATGTCTACTCACTTGTTTGAATTCTTGCCTCAACATTTCAGCACCATGAGGAGTGGACAGCGTCTCCGTCCCTATGTACTAACCTCAAGCTCTCAGGCCTGATAAAAGCACCATTATATCAAAATGGCACTGTACCACTCCACCAGGACAGGTCTAATCTCCTGCCTTTAATGCTCACGTCTGCTAGAACAAAAGGCATCAGTTTTTCAGTCGTGAGAGGCAGCTGCTTTCAGCTAGTTTTCAGATTTGTCATTTGCATGATACTGGGTAGTTTTGAGAGCTTTTGCATGATTTCGTGACAGAATGGCACTTGTGTGTTCATGTCTGGCGAGACGATGAGTGGGACACGAGTCCTCCTGGCTGAGGGTCAGCAAAGCCTCACGTTGCATCAAGTAAAAAAGGGGAAAAAGTAGAATGTGTCTCATTTTTTGGTGGACAATGACAAGAAGCAACAGATTCATCTATTTTTAAACCTTGGCCATGTTACCATAGCGATTTCAGACATGTTGTTGCCAAGCAACAGCATCAAATACAATAAAGACATGAATGAAGGCAGATACTTAAGAGGAGACTCTTGACTGCATACGCTTTGCAGTCCATTCAGAAGAGAGAGAGGGAAGAGAGAGGGGGAAGAGGGACTGAGAGAGGGAGAAGAGAGACTGAGAGAAAGAGAAGAGAGACTGAGAGAAAGGGGAGAGAAAGAAGAAAGAGAGACAGAAAGAAAAAGAGACTGGGAGGGAGAGAAGAGAGACTGACAGAGAGGGAGAGAAAGATGGAAGAGAGACAGTGAGTGAAAGAAGGAAGAGAGACAGAAAGAAAAAGAGACTGGGAGGGAGAGGATAGATAGGAAGAAGGAGAGGGAGAAATAGATAATGAGAGAAAAGAGAGGGAGAAAAAGAAAGACAATCAGGGAGAAAGCAAGAAAGAAAAGAACACAAGAAAGAATGAGGGGAAGAAAGAACAAGTAAAGAGAGAGTTAATCAGAGAGAAGGTGTGAGGAGCGAGAGATAATGAGAGAGATATTCAAAGGAAGAGGGAGAAAAGGAGAGTAAAGAGAGACAGAGAAACAAAAAAAGGAAGAGGAGAAAAACCAAGAGAGAAGTAGGAGAGGGAAAAAAAGATAATGAGAGAGATCACACAAATAAACAAAAGAAAAGAAATCAGAGAGAAAGAAAGGAGAGACAAAGGCAAAAGAGAAAAGAAGAAAGAGAATAAGAAGAGGGAAAAAAGGATAATGAGATACAAAAAGAAAGTAGAGGAAGATAATCAGAGAGGAAGAAAGGAGAGAATGACAAAAGCAAAAGAGAAAAAAGATAATGAGAGCGACAGAAAGAGAGAGGAAGAAAAGCTAATGAGACAGAAGAGAGACAGGTAACGAAAGAGAAAGGGAGAAAAAGAAAGTAGAGAGAGATAATCAGAGAGAAAGAAATGAGATAATGAGAGGGAAAAAAGATGAGAGACAGAACGGGACAATGAGAGAGGAGAGAGAAAAAAAAAGTGAATCCGAGAAAAAGAAAGACGAGATGAAGGAGGAGAGGAGATAATGAGAGCGCTTCGAGTTCTCCTGTGAAAGCTACAGTTACGCACACAGGTTGTACAGACTAACGGCTCTGAGTTCTCGGGACTGACTCTGTATGTTTAGATTGGCATAATTAAAATACACAGAGAGTTTGTTTCCAGCGTCCTGAAGCCTCTGAGGTCATCTGTCTAAAACCAACCACACTGTATTCACTCATTTCACTGCCAGCGGTCAGAACGAGCGAGGACCAAAAGCCCACCAAGCGCGTCATGAGCTGTGAAACAAAGCCGGCAAGTTCTCCAGCCCCGTCAGCGCTGTTTAAACTCAGCACGGAAGCGCTCAGTACCTTCTATACAGCAGATCCTCCAGAGTCCGGAGTGCGTCAGGTCGCCGCGGCTCTTCTTGGCCTGCGTCTGAGTCTCGTCCGTCGTGATGTTGGTCGCGTTGCAGATGTGCGCGCGCGAGTACAGCCAGTAGTCCGTGCCCACGGCGATGCTCATGAGGCTAAACGCCACGAACGCGCCCGCCGTGGCCAGCAGCGTCTGGAGCGCGCGGTCGCACCGGGCCATCGCGCCTCATAACGGTGCGCGTGGCGCGTCTTGGGGGGCACGCGAGAGCGGCGCGCGCATTCCTCTCCCGCTTGTTGCTGCCGCTGGTGCTGCCTCCTCGCGCTCCTCTTTTGTTCCCGTCGCTCTCACGGCTTCAGGTAGCGCGGCGCGCGCGCTCACACGCTCAACCGCTCGCGGCCACGGTGAGGGGGTGGGCGGGGCGCGCGCACTCTCTCAACTCGGCTTCAGACATGGCCGGTGTGGTTTTTGATTTTCTTCTTCTTCGTTAAAGCAGCAGCTGGTCGGGGTTCTCCCAGTTTGGGCCGTTTTGTCGTTGTCCAAACTCAGGCTCGCCAGCTCGTCGCTATCTGCTTCTTGACGGCGCGGACCCAAACCCCACCTTCAGCCCACTGAGCCAATGGGAGGAGAGCAGCTTTGATAAGCCCCTGAAAGCTTTAGTGATGGGGAGAGGTGGGGTGTTAATGGCAAAGCTGAATCGAGGTTGATCTCCCAGAAATGACTTCATCTGCCGTGACTGGCAGCATCGAGTGGCCAAACAATTAACAAGAACACTTCTGTTCATACAACTCAGACAACCACACACAGGAGCTCAACACAGCAGGACGCCGAAACCCACCCTGAGTCATATTTCATAAAGTAGGATTTCTCAGTAAGCTGAATAACATAGGACAGAATTTGAGGATTGTGCAGTAGGAATGATCCTTGGCTCTTCTCCTGCTGCATGGGCTTGGCTTCCATCTGGTTAAGAATAAGACATTTTGAGAAATCTTGCTTTGTTATGTGGTTCACTGAGAGGATGCGCTTTGTGTGGTTAACTGAAAAATCATACTTTGTTATCCGGTTAACTAAGGAATTGTGCTTTGTTATTTGGTTAACTGAGGAATCGTGCTTTGTTATCTGGTTAACTGAGGAATTGTGCTTTGTTATCTGGTTAACTGAGGAATTGTGCTTTGTTATCTAGTTAACTAAGGAATCGTGCTTTGTTATCTGGTTTACTAAGGAATCGTGCTTTGTTATCCGGTTAACTGAGGAATCTTGCTTTATTATCCGGTTAACTGAGGAATTGTGCTTTGTTATCTGGTTAACTGAGAAATCGTGCTTTGTTATCTGGTTAACTGAGGAATCGTGCTTTGTTATCTGGTTGAGTCATATTTCATAAAGTAGGATTTCTCAGTAAGCTGAATAACATAGGACAGAATTTCTGGTTATCTGGTTAACTGAGAAATCGTGCTTTGTTATCTAGTTAACTGAAGAATTGTGCTTTGTTATCTGGTTAACTGAGGAATCATGCTTTGTTATCTGGTTAACTGAGGAATCATGCTTTGTTATCTGGTTAACTGAGGAATCGTGCTTTGTTATCTGTTTAACTGAGGAATTGTGCTTTGTTATCTGGTTGAGTCATATTTTATAAAGTAGGATTTCTCAGTAAGCTGAATAACATAGGATTGTGCAGTAGGAATGATCCTTGGCTCTTCTCCTGCTGCATGGGCTTGGCTTCCATCTGGTTAAGAATAAGACATTTTGAGAAATCTTGCTTTGTTATGTGGTTAACTGAGAGGATGCGCTTTGTGTGGTTAACTGAGGAATCGTGCTTTGTTATTTGGTTAACTAAGGAATCGTGCTTTGTTATTTGGTTAACTGAGCAATCGTGCTTTGTTATCTAGTTAACTGAGGAATTGTGCTTTGTTATCCGGTTAACTAAGGAATCGTGCTTTGTTATCTGGTTTACTAAGGAATTGTGCTTTGTTATCTGGTTAACTGAGGAATCTTGCTTTATTATGCGGTTAACTGAGGAATTGTGCTTTGTTATCTGGTTAACTGAGGAATTGTGCTTTGTTATCTGGTTAACTGAGAAATCGTGCTTTGTTATCTGGTTAATTGAGGAATCGTGCTTTGTTATCTGGTTGAGTCATATTTCATAAAGTAGGATTTCTCAGTAAGCTGAATAACATAGGACAGAATTTCTGGTTATCTGGTTAACTGAGGAATCGTGCTTTGTTATCTAGTTAACTGAAGAATTGTGCTTTGTTATCTGGTTAACTGAGGAATCGTGCTTTGTTGTCTGGTTAACTGAGGAATCGTGCTTTGTTATCTAGTTAACTGAAGAATTGTGCTTTGTTATCTGGTTAACTGAGGAATCGTGCTTTGTTATCTGGTTAACTGAGGAATCGTGCTTTGTTATCTAGTTAACTGAGGAATCGTGCTTTGTTATCTGGTTAACTGAGGAATCGTGCTTTGTTATCTGGTTAACTGAGGAATCGTGCTTTGTTATCTAGTTAACTGAGGAAGTGTGCTTTGTTATCTGGTTAACTGAGGAATCGTGCTTTGTTATCTGGTTAACTGAGGAATCGCGCTTTGTTATCTGGTTAACTGAGGAATCGCGCTTTGTTATCTGGTTGAGTCATATTTCATAAAGTAGGATTTCTCAGTAAGCTGAATGGACAGAAGGACAGAATTTGAGGATTGTGCAGTAGGAATGATCCTTGGCTCTTCTCCTGCTGCATGGGCTTGGCTTCCATCTGGTTAAGAATAAGACATTTTGAGAAATCTTGCTTTGTTATGTGGTTCACTGAGAGGATGCGCTTTGTGTGGTTAACTGAGAAATCATGCTTTGTTATCCGGTTAACTGAGGAATTGTGTTTTGTTATCTGGTTAACTAAGGAATCTTGCTTTATTATCTGGTTAACTGAGAAATCGTGCTTTGTTATCTAGCTAACTGAGGAATTATGTTTTGTTATCTGGTTAACTGAGGAATCGAGCTTTGTTGTCTAGTTAACTGAGGAATCGTGCTTTGTTATCCGATTAACTGAGGAATCGTGCTTTGTTATCTGGTTAACTGAGGAATCGTGCTTGGTTATCTAGTTAACTGAGGAATCGTGCTTTGTTATCTAGTTAACTGAGGAATCGTGCTTTGTTATCTGGTTAACTGAGGAATCGTGCTTTGTTATCTGGTTAACTGAGGAATCGTGCTTTGTTATCTGGTTAACTGAGGAATCGTGCTTGGTTATCTAGTTAACTGAGGAATCGTGCTTTGTTATCTGGTTGACTGAGGAATCGTGCTTTGTTATCTAGTTAACTGAGGAATCGTGCTTTGTTATCTAGTTAACTGAGGAATCGTGCTTTGTTATCTGGTTAACTAAGAAAGCCTGTTTTGTTTTTTGTGTAAAACGCTCACAAGAACAATAATTGTCACATTTGTTATCCAAAAAATTCTGAACATCATTCACTAGAGAGGCATGTCGGGAAAGTCCCGCAAGCCCATAGCCTTACAGACGATACAGTAGGCAATTACTTAGTTAGTTTTGGGTTTAAATGCAGAATCTGTTTGCTTATTGTGTAACAGATAACAACATAATAACCACTAATAACCAAACAGGGAAGGGGCATGTAGCTGATGTACAGTATCTTTGGTTAAAGTATCTCTGACCTTTCATGTGGACATGAATCCACGTATGATATCAATGATGGTTTGTGAAATCTGCATTGAATTAAAACACTGATCTAAAACAAAGACTTAAATGCTGTATTAACTGATTACAGTGATTGTTTGCTTCTTGACTGCTTCTGATTGAATGCATCTCTTCAGATTATTTGATGCCTTGGCACTGATCTCTGGAGAATAATTAAGCAGATCCCTCATTGGGAAGCATTAAAATTCCATTGTTTACTGAATCCACACCTGCATCAAGCTAATGAATCAGCCTATTAATCTGTTCCTGCCAGGCCCATGGAGAGGCTACTCACTCACACTCTCCTGGGAGCAAAACGTTATTCAGAGGTGGATTATTTTACTAATCAGCCTGAATTGGCGGCATCACAGTCCCAACCTGTTGTTTGTTTGCTTCCATTTTCACTGAAACAGAGAAACAGCAAGCAGCGAAGACATCATTTGTTAACCGTAACTCATTATTTCTACCACAACTGCACATAAAGAGTGTGTTAAGGGGAGGAGTGTTCATTAACCAGGCAATGAGGATGATGTATAGGGCTAATGTGAGCAGATATTCCATCGGGAGGATAGTAGGGGTGGGAATCTCTAGGCACTTCATGACTCGATTTGATTCTGATTCAGAGGGCTGCGATGCGATTATAAAACAGTTATTGATGCATCTTGATGCATCTTTTTTCTATACAGGATTTCTTTTTTTCTCATTGTGTGACAACTTGGAACTTTTAAAGTACAGTATTTGTAATGATCCATAATGAATTTACTTCCAAAATCCCTTATTAATAAATGAAATGGAAGTGATGTGGCATGTGAACTGGAAGGCTCTCATTCACTGCTCTTGTTTGGAGACGCAGACTGTCACTCCTCTGTGATAAAATGCACAGTTATGGTGAAATAAGATCCTGGGGCAATGGGAGTCCACGCAGCAGATTACAGCTGTTCTACCCGTTTTCTTCAGTGATTCCATAACTTCAGTTTTGGTCTCGTTGTAGAGTGTGTGTGTGTGTGTGGGGGGGATCGCTGTGTCAAAAAATATCTTCGAGATGGGACGCTGTATCTCGGCTCCAAATTGGGCAACATAGCACAAAAGCCCTGGTTCTCAAAGACTGAGTACGGACGCAAATCCTTGGCAATAAATGTTGCGATAGAGTTTGTAGTTCGCTTCGTCCTTTCCGAGTTGGGTGGAAGCTCCGACATTGCTTGATCTATGGTCCTCTTGTTTGCATCTACAACCGGACGGAAAACGGGTGGAAACGTGTAATATGGTTTTCCCCCTCAACTCCATAGAAGCCAAAGTGCTTCCATTCGCTAGCTCAAGGTTTCGGCAACCTGCAGCTCTTTTACTGGCCTGTTGCGGCTCCACATCAGAATTAGATTTCTAGGTAAAAAATAAAATAATCCTCCTTTGCAGTAAAATAAACCTCTGCTGATCAGTCAAACACAGTTTTAACAATAAATAAAATCTTAAACGCTGGAATTAATGTAGTCTATAACTGCTAGTTCACCAACGAAAAGGCAAGGAGAAAGATTTAAGATAAACATCGATAGTTTG